AGGGAAAAAGGGGGGTTTCGTGGTGATAGCAGGAGAGAGAAAAGGAGAAGGTTTGCGACAGTGAGGAGATGAAGTGGCGGCGATAGGGTGGCTGGCAAGGAGACGGAGCGGTGGCGATGGGCGGACGGCAATGAGGCGGGATGACGACGACGGGGTGGCTGGCGAGAAGGGGAGTGGTGGCGATGGGCGGACGGTAAGGAGGCGGAACGACGGCGACGGGGTGGCTGGCGAGAAGGGGAGCGGTGGCGACGGGGTGGGCGGGAAGGAGGGGGAACGGCAATGACGGGCGGACGAGGACAATGTGAAGAGGAAGAGAAGGAGGTCCCCCTAATCCAAGAGGGTGAGAAGAAGAGAGGAAGCCCTTAGTCCAAGAGGTGATGAAAGGAGGCGAGGAACCCCCAATCCAAGGGGCGAATGAGGGAGAAAGAACCCCTAATCCAAGAGGTGAGAGGGATACCACGAATCTTCTTGATTCCAAATTCAATTTCAACATTTTTTCCAGTGTTCTTGAGTTTGAGTATTTATAGGAAATAGAGAACGGTAGTTAGAGGCATCTCCTTTCAAAGGATGTCAAGCGGTGTCTCTTGGAGGGAGAAACGCCTTCCTTGGGAGAGGAGGGGTGGATGGGTGGCGTGGCCTCTTCTCCTCCCGCTTCTTCCTTCTCGTGGGTTCACCAAAGGGAATGAACACTCATATTGATTCCATCAGGTAGTTTATTTTTATTTGTGACCTTATAGACAACAATCCCCCACAGAATGATTTAATGAGAAGCTTGCTCCCTATTATTTCTAGCCTTTCAATATTCTAGATAGAACTGACCCAAATACCTAATCAACTTAAATTATTATCAGCAATAAGTATTCATTTTGTCTTCCATATTTCTCAACTAAAGAAGGCCATTAAATAGTCAGAATATGTGCAGTCACTTTCTCTTTTGCTAAATAAGAATTTTGTATGGAATGTGAATTTGAAGACCAAATAAAAATCACATGAGATTCGATGCCTTATTTATATAGTCATCTGCATTTTAGACTCTCTCTTTTGTCATTCAACCTCTATTATATTCCCTCATCTTTAATCATTGAGATCATTGTTCTAAAGCTCTAGGGAGTCCATGTAATGTTCACATAGTTTTTTAAAAAACACCTTATTATTTTATGTAGAAAAAACTTCACCCCTTGGCCTTCACGTAGTTTTATTTTTTTTTCCAATCCTTAGCATTACAATAATTACTATTTTTTTTTTTTTTTAAATGCATGAATGTTTATAAACCAACAAAGAATATTTCATCACTTAAATATTTCTAATAAAAAACATTATTGTACATTGATTATGTATATAATATATTTTCTATAACTTCTTTTCAAAAACTTGTCAACTTTATGCACCACTATAGGAAGTGGAGTTGGTTTGATATTTGAGCAAGTTATCAACATGCTATTCCTATCACACCTACTTATATTATTGTGCAACATTTATAATTCCTCATCAAAAATTATGATGAAATAATTTTATATTACCTCACTTCTAATAAGATGTAATATCTATGTTAGTGATATCAAAACTCATAATATATATAACATATTGTTGACTTTCAGATGCAAAAGTACTTTCTACTATTCATCAAGAGATGTGTCAAGTTAATGTACTAAGTATAAACTAAAAAAGGGTACAGAAAATACTTGACCACAATCTTGAAGGACTTAGGCTTTGACTTCCATTTAAATGTTCCAACTTTAATGATGTGCCTATAGTGCACAAAATTGGTTTACAGAAACTTAAGAATATATTCCTCTTAGTCTTTAACATTTGGATATCCCCTACAAGCCATTATCAAAGACTAACCATATGATGGCTAGACAACAATTCCATCTGTACTTCTTAAATTTTCAACATTAGGTAAAATGGTTATTGCAAAACCACATGGGTCAACCTTGAAGACCATGGGGTCATGATACATGGCATGTTGGGTAGTCAACCTTACAATTCAGAATCATCAACCCTCACATAAACAACAGAATCAAATCTTATCTCTAACAAGTTGTTCTTTTATGAATTATGATATTTTCTATCCAAGGGTTAACCATTCTAAGTCACTTCAATTTTTTACAAGCAAAAGTTGGTTTTTCACAGGCATTTCTCTATCATTATAGGAAATGTGTAACAACAAATGGATTAGATAAAATGGTTAGATCATCATTTGAGTAGTATTACAATAAATTTTATTCTTATCTTTAATTATTATTGTCAACATCGAAGTCTTTAAAGTAATAACCCACCTCCCTTTCTATACTCACTATGTAGCCTGCCATAGACTAACAATTATTTCATTTATTCATTAACTTTTATTGATAATAAAGTTTGATTCATAATTCTCTCTTAAAACTTTTGTGATGATAGGTACACCTTGTTGTTGATAGGATGCATATACAATTTGTATTATGTCACTTTCTCAATGGATGATTTTAGGGCTTTCAAATTTCCATATGAAATTCTTTCTCAATTAAGGTTGAAAAATTAGCAAGAGGGCTCAAGAAAATAGGCTGGCAAGTTCACATTGAGATGGGCAATGATCAATCTAGTTTATAGGCTGAATTTTGAATCAAAGTTTTCCTCTTTTTGTTCTCTCAATGTTCTTTTCAAAGATCAATTAGAGAATGCAGCAGAAATATCCAACACAATGTGTTTTCTAGTGGTTTCAATCATATCCTTTAAGCTAAGACCAATAGTGAAAGCTTTACATTGAAACACAAGTATCATAAGAGATTGAGTGTGGGAGGCCTACAGTTAAATTTAATATATCTAAGTCTAGTATATGAGCACATAAAAAATAAATTAATAATTTTGACTTCAAACTAAGTATAAATCCTCACAAAAAAGATACATGCATGATATATTGATTCTGAAATTTTATTTCTACTCTTCAAACCATGGGTTTATGATTTCCTAGGTCTCTAAATCATTGCTTCAAATACATGTCAATGAAGATGTAGTGCAAAAGTAAATAATAATTTATCTACAAGATTTAATTTCAGCAATATTAAGTGCTCACTATATAATACATGTTTATATTTTTTTTTCAGTACTTTAAAGTTCATTACTCCAAATCATTACTTTTGATCGAGCTTTAAGATATTTGTTTATTAAGAAAGAAACTAAATCATGTTTACTTAAATAGATTTCATTATTACAAGAATTTAATTTAGAGATCCAAGGTAAAAAAGTTATAGAAAATATGATAGCTGGCCATTTATCTCAAATTTAGGAATAGGAAAAGGCTGCATTACATGATTTATTTCTTGATAAACATATTCTTGCTGTGCATAATAGTTCAATGCCTTGGTATGCATATATAGTAAATTATCTAAAAAATGAAAAAATTCCAACATATTGTCTTAAGGATGAATGTGAACCATTTTTTTGCTCACATCAACATCAAATTGAGTTCCCCCATCATTTATTATCACTTTAAAACATCAAAACTGTGCAATGATATTACTTCAGATAAATTAAATGATCACTTTATGATTATTTGTCCATATTGAGATAACTTCTACCCATTTTGACACATAATTCACAGCTAAAAAAATATATTCATAACCTCAAGATGAAGGAAAAATTCTTATAAAATTAATGTCCCAAACATCAAAAAATCAGCAACAATTACTAATTTTAAAGGTGTTGTATTTCCTTTTTGAATGTTTATAGCAACTTGACATTTTATACATTATTTAGAAAATGTTTGAGCATATTTATACAAAGATATTTTTGCAATTATTTTCGTGCTTACAAAATGACCTTTACTTAGAAAATATGGTGTTAATCATACAATAGTTAACCCACACCATTCTCAAACAAAGGTCAAATTGAATTAGCTAATAGATAAATTAAAATCATTTTGTAAAAAGTTGTTTCACCCAATAGGAAGAACTGATATGAGAAATTAAATGATTTATTATGGGCATATAGGACATAATATAAAATTCTTTTAAGTGCTTCACCATATATTAGTTTATGAGAACCTTGAGCTATTAAGAAGCTTAATATAGATTTCGAATATATAAGCCATAAAAGATTTTTACAAATGCATAAATGTAATGAGATTCATAATGAAGCTTATGAGAATCCACAAATTTATAAGGTCAAGATAATAGAATTTCATGATAAATAAAAGGTTTGGTTATATAATTCTAGATTGAAGCTATTTCTAGGAAAATTAAGATGTAAGTGGGATGGTCCATATCTTATTGAGGTTATTGATCAATATGGAGCATCAATGATCAAAGATTTTAAAATAGGTGCAAGTTTTAAAGTTAATGGGTATCGGCTTAAAATATATTTAGGTCCTGAATAAAGCAAATTAATGGAGAAGGTGAATTTATTAAGGGTGGTTTGAGTTTACATGTTTTTGGTTGAAGATATTAAACTTAGCATTGATTGGGAGGCAATCAAAAATTTTATTTCTGTATAATTTAGTTCTCGTTATGTACTTAATAAATTAAGAATTTTGTTGCTCCTTATTCATTTCAATAATACATCATGCATTTATTTTCATCATTTTATAATTTCTCATTTCTAAGCATATATCTTTTTTTTACAATTTAATTTGATAATATAATTTATGTCATTGAGCAAAATTCAAGTTTTAATTAGGGGGGGCAAAAACAATTTCATTTATAATAATTTCATGAATAACTAGAGTATAAAGAAATTTTATTACCTAGGCCAAAAACTTAAGCATAGAAACTAGTCTTAATGAATTTATGGATTTTTACATTTTCTTATATGATGGTGAATTTATTTAAGTACGAAGGTTAGAGTGTGTTAGAATTAATAACTTCAAGGAAAAGAAAAAAGTGTAGTACGTTGAAGGATGAAATACTTTCAGAATACATCTTGACATCAAGGTGTATTCAGAAAGTATATTATGGATAATATCATGGGGGGCCCTTATTCTGAAACTATGATCATGATCTATATATTATGGGATAATCTGTAATTTACAGACCATTCACAAAGAAGGAAGCGAAGGCATCCATACACAACTGTGAGATGGATACCGACAGCTGTACGCCGCCTTCTTCATCCCTCGCCGCTTGCAGTGACGCCTCCCCGTTCCCGTTCATGGATAGCATCTCCACCCTTTTAGGGCCCCCCCAGCCAAAATCTGCATCGTACACCCGGAACCTCGGCGACCCTGACACATTCACTAGTCTCTCGATCGGAAACCCAGTAAGAACCGACTTAGTTGTCCAGCGCTCAACGTCACTCAACGGTTCCCTAGTGCCCTCCTGGACGGCTCTCCGCACAGCTGCGCAGGCCGCCTTAAAGCCCACATCGCCGCCGGCCAGCAGCTCCGACGCCTTCGCCACGGCCAAGCAGCGCTTGAGGCAGTTGCCAAAGTAGCGGTCCTCGACGGGAGGGTGGGTCAAGGCGGTGGCGGCAGTCGGCTTCAAAAAGCAAGGGACAGATAAGGTCGTCCGGTGGAATGCCCTTCTCTCTGACGACGCTCAGCCAGATGTGGGCGGCCAGGGCAGCGAACGCCGAGGGCCGGTGAGTGGCGGTGCCTCGGTCCTTTAGGGGGACGATTCTCTCCACCTTGACGGCGAAGGTTCTCCGTGACAACTCACGCGGATCGTAGAACTTCATCAAAGAGTCGGATAGCTGAAATCAGCCATGAAGCAGGTTTCAGCTACTTAGATATAGATACATGGATAGATAGAGAAAGAGAGACGCTGACAGAGTCGGCATTGAACTTACGCTTGGGAGGTTGGGAACGAAAGTCCTCACGATACTCCTGGCAATCTCTTCCGCTCGGGGGTGACTTATGACCGACCGGTCATGCAGTGGCACTGGGAGACTCGATGCCCCTCCGCCGGACGACATTCGACACCCCGCCGTCCGCGCATCAACGAACTGCCATATGGCATTACCATCAGCCGCCATGTGGTGCATAGAGAACCCAATTGCTACCCCTCTCTCGGGAAAACCCGTGATCTGCACGGCGAACACCGGAGCCGGAAGCTGACTCGCGTCTAAGACCGGGACAAGAGTCAAGAACGTCTCCCTGTCGTAGTGCTGGTCGTCCATGAGCCGTTGGAAATCGATCCCCTCCGCCTCTGCCCAAAGGAAATCGACCCCGTCGCCTCCGTCGTCGGAGAAACTTATCACGATGTCGCCGGTCCCGTCAACAGTGGTGAACTTCCCGGCGAGGGGATAATAACGAGAAAGCGTCCGGGAGAGGGACTCCCTGAGCTCTTCGACGAGGGAAGGGATCGGGCGGTCGGTGATGAACAGCAGAAGCCGTTGCAGGGGAGGGAAGCGAATCCATTTGACGTCGAAGAAGGAGAGCTAGACGGGTTCCAGACGGGGGGCCTCCAAGTGGCGAGAGCGAGACGCGGGTGACGTTCAAGACTCGAGCTTCCCCCATTGTTGCAGACAGCCACGGAGCTACCTCATCGTAGAAAGCGTATCGGTTCCATCTTGGATTTATAGGTAACTGCCACTCACCACGCGAGTGCCACCGACCTGTGCAAACTTTTCTCGTCTCCCGATTCTGATTTCCTATTTGCTAATGTGAGCACGCCACCATAATTTCATATGCATCCTGTTTCGCACAACTGTAGGGGCTATCAACGGCTGGATTGGGCCCGGGGCTGGCAGAATTCAGCTTAAATTTTGGTTCCATTACGTGACCTCCCGGGGAAGTTCCCGAGACAGGCACCCCTCAAGAAGTTCGGCCCAAGATAAGGCCCAAAAAAAAAACAAAAAAAAAACTTAGCCTCACCACATTTAAGAGTAGAGAAATGGCCGATCGAAAGATGTATAGAGTGGAACTTCATCATATCTTAGGCCTACACGTAAAAGCTTGAGTTGAACCTGATTTGGAGCAGTACAACAACGAAAGGCCCAACTTGCTAGGCGTGCTTCACCTTGTCATCACACTCCTGCATCTTTCTACTCGTTTGCAGTCAAAACTCATGTTTAATGGTTTCCCACTAGGACTTGGAACCCTTTACTAGAATGTAAATTGAAAATCAAATCCTACAGCATTTCATTTGGAAGTCCATTTTCTAGAATGTGAGTCAATAAAAAATGGAACTTAAAATGCCAATGTAGCAAGTGAGTTAAATTAAATGTCACTAAAAAATATGAATATTTTGATACAATAGGTCTTGTTAGTATGTTGTCATTAGTTTTTTTGTGCAACATCAATTTCTTGTAATTCCAAATGTGAAATGATCATAAAATAGTCTCAAGCAAGCAACCTCTTCCATTCAACAGCTAGCACAAATAGCTGCTTCATTTTTTCTATTTTCTTGTAAAATTCTAGTCTTACTTTTATCGCATCCTTGTCTTCTCTATGACTTCAAGTTTTATATTGAGTACTTGCACAAAAAATTAAGTGAGAATTTGTGAGGTCTTTGTTGGCGAGCCAAACTACATGAAAGTACTGAGTCGAGAGCATCATTATACCACCCAATAGTTTTCCTTGACCTATCCAACTTTACAATGCCTTCAATCATTTGCCAACATCCCTATGTGAAGAAGATAATAAGGATAGAGCCTCAACCTTCCACCTTTTCATCAATATTTTAGACACAATTTAAGTTTACATCATTTTTCAGAAAATGATCGATAGTGAAGTCCTTCAAATTTATTGTGGGATCCTTATGGGTAAACCTTTGATTAATCATCTAAGCCATCTGAACTCATTAATTAGCTGTTGGCAACCTAGAGCTATGAATCTAGAAGAAATTTTTTAGGAGAAATTCTAAGGGAGTTGAACCCATTAATTAGAGGTCGTGATCAGATGATCAACCTTAGTAGAATTCAAAATAGAGATTATTTTTAGAGAGTGAACATACATAGTGAGCTGAACGACTATAAGAATCAATTAGCTTTACTTTTATGAAATATAGGAAGACCATAAACCTTAGGATATTAAGGGGAGGATATTAAGACCATGAATTCAACCCCCTATTCTTAATCTATGTGTAGGCCTAAACATGTTTAACATAAAGGAATATCATGAAGAACTATAACAATATTTATACATACAATAAATATATAATAAGATATAAAGTGCAACATGACAACAACAAATGAGATCAAATGCAATATCCCCTATTAGAAAAGAATTGTGAATTTGTTAACAAAAAGTTTTAGAATCATAAGATAAAAAGAAGAACACAAACAACACATTCCAACAAGTCCAATTGAAAAAATCATGCATTTTCTAGGAATTCAATAATTTTCAAGAAAGGAATATCATGAAGAAGTATTCGACAAGACATTACCTATATAAAAGTTAAATTGTCCCATTTGTAGGACACATGAAAGATGTGCTATCAAAGAGAAAAAGCCACATGAATGTCAAATGAAACTCATCTTTAGTGCAAGGAGAACATAAAAAAGTTGTCTGGTCATACATGAAACTTCTCAAATTATTTATCTTAGTTTTCAAATAGGTCCTTTGCGTGGCCACCCTGAGTTTTATTTGAGGTGTCAAGGTACATTACTAAGCATCTATTCAAAACAAAATGAGAATGTAGTAGTGGATAGTTCCTACTTTGATGTATTAGAGATAAGTATAGACATGTCTATGGAATTTACTAATGATAAATAGAATCACTAATATGTTATACTATAAGTTTCTAGAATGTCTACAACTTTTTGTGGTCAACTTCAATAGAATAGCTCAACAATGATGGAAGCTTTAATGGCTTTGTAATATTCTTCCACCATTTTACTTAATGAATATAATAAGGTCCATCACATAGAGATTTGATTTATTGATATTGATGACATCATTCTATAGAAAATTTTCTTATGTATGACTAATAAGTCTTCATTATCATGAATTAATAATTAATAAATAATATAGTTTTAGCCTTAACTCATGATAAATAGACTTATATTTTTGTTAAAGTGTGAAAGTGGTTTTTAATTTTTAACGTAAATTCTTGGATAATTATGTGATTTTATATAAATTTATATAATTTTTATAGTCTTATTTTTGAGATAAATGAAGAAAAAGAAATAAAAAAATATAACAAAATAGAAAGGACCTGCCAACCAACTAGGCCCGCAAGTGGGTTGGAAATGTAGTCGGAGAGAGCCATAAGTAGGGGCTCGAATGGCTAGGACCAATGGGGGCCTTTGTGTGCCACTCCTCTTCCATGTCACTAGTGGCTAGTTGGCTGTGGGGTAAGAAGTAGTCATACACGCAGGAGAAAGGGACTTGCTTGTAAATATAATATTCACTTGAAACTTCGGCGCACAAGTGATGTGGAACTAAACCCACATCACACCTTTTCTAGAAAGACTTCAATGATTTTAATACCTATAATATCTCTTATTTATAATAGAAATATACTGTGATCATGTAATTTGATAAGGGTATTACAGTACTTATATCAATCTCTCTCATGTAAGCAAACAATCGGCGTGGGTTCAAATTTTTTTAGAGTCAAAACTCATATTTTTTATCTGATTATTGTAACTTTCCTACAAATCGTTAGTGAAGGATTAAGTGACTAAAATTATTGGATCATCGGCAAAAATCTCATTAATGCAATTCGTAGAGCATTGTTACTAAAATTGTTGAATGATTCATGATAAAAGAATTGTGAATCCATCAAGTAAAGCATCTCTGATTGATTGACGAACAAGCCGTTGTCGAGAAGAGGACGATCTGTCAAAAAATGAGTCGCCACCTCCTAAAAGTATACTAGATGTAATGAAAAGCCTCCTCTTACTATGTGGACCAAAGGATGAAGCTCCCTAACATGCACCCCACCTCCATCCAGCTCCTCTCCATCAGGTGACAATTATTGAAGAGCTGTAAAGTCATTATTTTTTTACTCTATCGGGTGATAGCCGCCGGAGACAATTCAACGACCTATTTTATTGATCTCTAAACTTCACAAGGAGATCTAAAGATTGCCCATATCGTCTTTATATAAAGAGAGCTTTTGAGGTCATTGATACTACATGACGATCCTCTAGAATGTTCAGAATTTTAGTGCATCGTCGACACATCACCACTGCAATGCTGAAACTATATTTTTCTACTTTCAACTTAATTTCTACTTTATTTAGTGATAATTTATATGATTTAAATTTCAAGATATACTTCATTCAATTACGATTCTTCTAGCTTTTACAAATCTTAATTTGATTAATTAAATCATCTGTAATCACTTATATAAGAATCACCAGACATAATTCTATTTTCGTCTTATTTGCATTCATCGAGTGCTGACATCATCTTGATGTTTGCACCTTTATTTCCCTTTTTCGTGAATTTCAAATATATTTTATTTTTATTTCTTAGTGTAAAATTTATAAAAAATAGTATTCTTTAAGAAAAATTCTCAATAATTATCTAATATTATATTACATCCTTTGATCAACCTAGAAAATTACCACTTTTTATAGAAGTTTTTATTAAATTATAATTGATATATTTTTTCAGAAATACTTCTAAATATCTAAAAAATCATATTTTCTAATTTTATAAATTTAAAATTTATGTGATTTACTATACAACGACTAAGTCACATCAATGACCTTAAGAGGTAGAAGGATAATCAAGGTTACCTATTGAAAGAGAAAAATTCAACATGTCTAAGGACCTTGGATTATACCTCATAGTTGGGGTTGAAAAACATTCAGATTCCTATGAGAGATGTCTTCATTATAGCCTTCAACTTTTCCTTTATTTGCTTTGTTAGTAGCCACAAATGGATTTGTGAGATTTTTTACCCTTAGACCCAAAATCAAGATGATTACCAAGTGATCAGGTTACATCAGCCATGCTTCTTATCTTGATTGATCTTCGCTTACTCTAATAGATAAGATTCAACTTTTCCCTACCCAAGTGTAAGTGACAAGAACAAAACTCATGAATTACCTAGGTAAAGACAACTTGAATAAGCTGGCCTGACTATCCCCCATTCCAATAAGTAAAAGTGAGAGAGATAGACAAACAAATAGATAGAGCGAGTCTTGATCTTTTGTACATATTCATATGCATGTGATAGACCATATATATGGATAAATGTAATAGGACACTGATAACATGC